GGTGGGATATAGAACAGGATCATGTGATATTATAGGATCATAGACATTTGACATAAAAGTGAAAATTCACAAGACTGCTATCAAGCTCACAAACAGCATGCTGTAGCTGATGATCCTGAACTTATCACGTTCTGTTTAAGCAGTTACTTAAAACAAAAAAAAATCCCTAACCCTTAAATACAAGTTTTTAACTAAACTTAAATATTTCACCAAACTTCATAATTAAACTCCATTACATTTACACAACTAATTCCATAACTCAAACCCTCATGTAAACACAAAATACATCAACATGACTGTACTAAATCCTGTGTTCCAGTCAAACAACAAGGGCTGATAAAAGTTAAAGATAATTCTTACTTCACAGGAGAATTGTTTTCCCTCTGTATTGCAGGTATTCCTCGCTGGGGATCTCAGCAGAGTTTTTCCAGTGAAGAGGATTGTCAGCGAGGGACCGAGAGGGAACTGTAAGCTTCTTAGTAAAGTGTTTAAGCTGTAACTCCGCTCTGCTTTTACCTCCATGCTTCATACATCACTGCTGCATTATACCTGCACAGCGTGGAGGGGTTAACAGTCACGGCCTGATCCTCTGCTCCTTGTACAGTGCAATATTCATTCAATTATTCTACCTCTGAACCAAAAGCAATATTTGTGAAAATGTAATTGTGTCAGGTTTTTGTAATTAATTTATTTGCATTTATTGATTAAAAGTTGAGAAAATAGTGCAGGGGGAGGTATGAGGCCTAGCGGGCTTCTTTTGAAGGTTAAAAGTTAAAATTTCACACTAAATGAACATGCAAAAAATTTTAACTAGTCAGAAAACTAATAGAATACCACAATACAAACAAAAACAATATCAATATCAAGATAAAAGCAAAACATTTATGTGTGATTCTTCATGAGCTGAAGGGGAAATAAAACAACTTAGCATTTTATCTACAAATAGATCATTTTTCTTTATGACATTTCCTAAAACTAGAATGGTAGCCATGTAGAGCTCATCCCTCCACCAAGCCCAGTCTTCACATTTCATTTCACTTTTATTTTTTATTTGGATCTGCACCAAATTGCACACACTCATAATTATCAGTCCCTTAAACATGTTTTTTCTTCTTTATCAAGATCATTAAAAATGTAAGTTAAAAAAAAATCCTGGATCTGCATCAAAATTGAAACAAACAATCATGTCAAATTCCCTAAAGTGTTTGCCAAGAGCAAAAAGAGAAATAATCTCCCACAGACACTCAGACTGTGCTGAATTCTTTTATTTTACTTTTACACATTTGACAATTTATTCCAAGTTTCTTAGTTTCTAAACGGTGAACACATTCACTACGGACAGCTACCAGAAACTACAACAGTCCAGTCTGTCAAATGTACACATGGGTGTCGAGAGGAAACATGTTGGTGCTGGCTTCTGCTTGTTCACACCAGGATCACCAGAGCAGAGGTGATGATGATACATCTTCTGTTTACAACAATATGTGTTTTATTTAAAATGGCACAATCAACACTAGTGCGGATAAGAACGATGGTCATTTATAATGTCTACGTCATATCATACAACCGACTCTCTCCTCGATGTGAGAACACAGAGGGAAGGAATGACATTTTCTCTTTGTCTGAGAGCCCAAGAGAAGCCCAGGAAGAGCAAGATGCCGCAGCTCTGCCCGACAATACGAAGCGATAGAATGAATGAACGTGTGATTTTTTTGTTTCTCCTGTGAAACTAAGCCAGCCCTCCCATCCTGCACTCTCAATACGTCAGTCCACAGGGACCAGCGGAGTCCGAGGAGGCTGCTGCTGCTGCATCCATGAAACTTACAAGAGTTTGGCTTCTTACATGTGGCTGACATTTACTTAAAGTTTTAACTGAAACAGCAAGAAAACGAGATCATGGAGGGAATGTGGTAGAGGAAGTTCAAGGGGCCACAGTTGTGTAAAAGGTTTGTATCATCTATTCTTTCTCAGCCTTCCTCTGAAATGTTTTAAAAAGGGGGTTTTGACAGAAGCACATCTGTGTCACCAAAAAAAGTACCTACTCAAAAATATAAAATGATCACATTTAACAATTTATACTCACTTTACAGTGGAAACAAAAAAAATACTGCATCGACAGAAGGAAACAATGCCACAGTGCTGATAACGTGTGTAAGTCATTCATATAGCAAATCAGTCAGATAAGGCTTTTTCCAGAATGTGCAGCTGAAATCATGAAACACTTCATTAACATTATTAAAACATTCATGTGGTTAATTCATTCCTTCAGTTACCGTCTCTCTCTCTCTCTCTCTCTCTTCAGATATGTACTTGTTACACACACCGTCCTACAAACTACCTATGAACCCGAACAATACAACAAAAGGCAGTCCAATTAAAAATGTTCACACAACTTCACATACTAACTTACAATTTGTTTTCATCTGCGACTTGTTCCTGAGCGTGAGCACGGTCTACTTCGACTTTATTAATGATACTTCACCTCAAATAAAGCGTGTTTATCTCTCAGCACTTGATATTTGATATCTGATATTTCTCTCCACTGCTAATTGTTTTCCAACTTTGCTGGGTTTGTTGTTTCAGGAGACTCATTTTATAGGTTTTCAAAAGAGTTCAGTTTTGGTGACAAGTCACGATCGATGTATGTAAACAGCTTAAAAGAAAAAGAAGAAAAAGTTTCATCAAAGTGAGATTTCATCGTTAAGGGATAAAGTCATCAGGCAGAATAAGGGTCACACGAGGGCACGAGGCAAAATTCGAGTGCTAATACTAATGGCACAAAAAGGAAGTGATGTCAAAAGTGCTCAAAAACTTTACTGCAGACAAATGACTGTGACAGATTCCCTGACACTCATCTACACCAGCGTTTCTCAAGAGTGAAAGGGTTCATCCCTGGTAGCTTGTAAATCTGAGCTCATGCAGTTTCGACAGCAGCATCGATGTATGACACACACCAGGATGTAGCCTTACTGACAGAGTGATGGATGTGGCGTAAAGCACACCTTCTAAAAGCAAGTCACATTTAGGACTGGACGTCATAACCAAAACCAAACGCACCGTATGTCTCGGTTTTAAAAGTCTTCTAGACAGGAAGGCATGGGGTGGATGGGTCAGAGACGGGAGAGTTTTCGCTTCACAAAACTGCAGTTAGCATTAGAGTGAGAATACAGCAGAGAAGCTGAGAAGCTGGAGAAAGCTGCTTAGATTTGAACCAACTTCAGTGAAACTGTTTCTCTCCCGTCTGCCCGGTGACACATGGCTTTACCATACAAACAAAATGGCAATACTGGAATAAATAACCAAGCACTGATGATAGTTAAACATTTTTCAAAGCTCTGAGTGGAGCTGTGACCAGAGAAGATGAGGAAATGTTCAGAAAGCGTCAGTGACGCAGCAGTGAGCGGATTGTAATGTAGTGTGTGTGTGTGTGTGTATAATGTGTGTGAGGCTCATCTCTTGCCACAGCTGTAAACAGTAAATATTGTCGCAGGTTAAATCCTGAGTGGAGTTTAAACCTTGCACCTTCTAAACCTCTGCTCAAAACTCATTTTAAGACAAAAATCAATCTGATTGACGAGAGCTGTGACACTGTTTACAGTGTTTACTGTGGCTACACTCCATCTGCAGGAAACTACCTCTACATCAAGCGATCTAACAAACAATGATCTGTTAAACTACCCTACATTAATCTGATACTGACATTAAGAGCTGACAGCGCAACTAAAACAGTCTTTACAAGGCTGTTCATCTTGGGAAATGATGGTCCCAGTCATATATTCACACTGGACGTATTATCTGCAAAGAGAAAGTTTCTAATCATAAAAAGGGAGTGCGGGGGGTAAATGCAATAAATAA